AAAAAAATAAAATTCACTCTATATACAGATAAATCTAAATTTGAACCATTTATATTCCCTATGTTTTCCTTTTTTGGGACCTCTTTTGTTATACATTTCTTGATTTCTTCAATAAAGGTCCAACGGAGGAATTAGCCAAAGTTGGGAACAATATATTTTAAGGTAACTTTATTTTATAATTTAAATTATATTGAATGATAAAATATAAATTATTAGATAGGAAGAATTTTCAATATCATGGAACTAAACTCTTATCCAATAATTAATTTTATATAATTTGATATAATTTAAATTGTATAATATTTTTTTTATATCTTAAAATTTGGCTTGATGAATGATTTTGATCACTAGATTTGGTTCAATCAATTATAACAGTTGAATTAGTTGGTCTGAATGATTGACTTAATAAATATTATTAAATTAACTTTATTAATTTAAATTTTTTACCTAAGTGATTTTATTTTTAAATTTATTGAGATCATTTCTACATTTATTGATAAAAGTAGTTAGTAATTTTAAATATTTTACTTCTAAATTTTTTTATATTTTTAAAACTAATCGATTTATATTGATTTGATTATTTAAAATTAATACGAATTACATTTAAATTAATTCAAAATTTTCATTCTTAATAGTTTTTTCTTTTAAATTGATTTTTAGAATATAATTATTATATTATTTATAAAATACAAATAAAAATGTAAAAATAAAAAGGAAAAATGAACCGATTCTGGTTTTAACTCTTAACTAATTTTTATTGGTAGTTGACTAAGTTTGACCCGACCTTAGTTACCAACTTACCATCAAGTCAACATCTCAACTTATGGACCAGTACAAGTTAAACCGATCTAACTAACCAATCCGGTCCCGATTTTAAAACACTGGTTTGTGACTGTGAGGATGCATCAATCAAAGTGGGGCTTTCCACCGACACGTATCTACCAACTTCCTTTCCTTGAAAATGAACCGCACAAAGTGAAAGCGTGTGGATTGGAATGCAACTACTCCTTTGTTGGGTATAGTTATTGCCGCATTGAGTTTTTAATTTTAGAGTAAGGTCAAAAAATAGTCCTTTTCATAATGAATTATATAAATAAATAAATAAATAAATATTTTATTTTATATATTTCATCTTGCTTCTTTTTTTTTTTTGCATTCACTTAATTTCATTTAAAGTGTCATTAAATCATCTTAATAAAATTACTATCTTTATAGAATCAATATATTTATGAAGCAAATAAGATTGATGCAATATTTCAATTAAGTTCATTCATAAATCTACTCAAATTTACTTATTAAATTTATACAACATTCATTCTCTTTTAACTTATATATATATAAACTTGTATTATATGAGAATATATAAAAATAGAAATGGAAGAATGTATCAATGTAATGTGAAAGTGCATGTGTTTTTAAAATTTGATTATGGTATATTTGATTTGAGAAAAAAATTTATTTAATTAAAAAAATTGAGAAAAAAATGAAAAGTTATTTACATTATTTAAAAAAAAAAATAAAAAAACGACATTCTTCTGTTTATCTCTTCTCCTCTCCGTTTTTCTCAAAGTTAATATATGGTGAAGGAGGAATTAGTTTTTTTTAAAAAAAGAAAACGAAGATTAATTTTTAGTACAATAACAGAAAAAGGAGAGAGAGAGAGAGACTACGAATGTGACATCGTCTGTGTGGCACTGTGGCGTTGCGTCTGCGTGCAAGCAATTGCATTGCGGCGTCTGTTTTGGAGGTCAAAAATTCCCTTCCACCACTAAGTGGACTTCGTGGCTCTATAGCATTGGACATACTGAGTAAGAGGGTGACAGTGCTGTGTAAGTAGCGTATTTGACTCGGACAAGTTAGAAAAGTATGTGAGCGGTTGTAAACTCCAAGGACTTAACTGTTGGACCGATACTTCCTGCCTGCCACGCCTGGATATATATTTATTTCATTTGGATAAGGGCACAACCGCACAGGGCCACGCAAAAAATGTATTTTTATCACCACTCTTTCCGTTTTTGTTTTTGTTTTTGTTTTTTTTTAAGTGATAATTTTTAAATTTTACTAAACCCTATCTTAATCAAAACAAAAATTATTACTTCACAGGATGTAGCTAGATTGGATCGGACACCACCCAGAAACATTGATCCGCAGTCAACTCAAAGCTTTGACTGTCATGACCGTGCCGTGTTTCTG